GGACGGGGGGCGGGGGGCTGAGGATGGAGACGGGGGGGCTGAGGACGGGGATGGGGGGTGGGGGGGGCTGAGGACGGGGGTGGGGACTGAGGACGGGGGGCGGGGGCTGAGGACGGCGACAGGGGCGGGGCTGAGGCACCCGGAAGGAAGGCGCGCTGCGCCCCGTATACATGCAAAGTGATACTCAACTAGGATGTCTACGGTCGGTGGTGCTTTGGACTCCGAGAGGGTGGACCGCTTTGCGAGTGGCAGGCTGTGTCACACGGCGCAGGGACCCAACCTCATGTCCTCCTGACCCCCTTGTCCTCAGCTACCCTGTAGGGACCTGCTTGGCACAGAGGGTGTGAGAGTGAGGAAGACTGTAATGCAGGTGGGGGTGAGTCAGGTCGCAGGAGAGGGCACCTCTGATGAAATGTTACATGAGCAGAGCTGTGAAGGTAATAGAGCACACACAGCAAGTGCAAAGGCCCTGAGGCGCAAGTGTGCTGTGGGTTTTTGATGATCTACAAGGAGATGGGTGGCTGGAGCCGAGAGCAAGGCAGAGGGAGGGGAGTGGAAGCCACAGAGGTTGGGGGGAGGGGGTAAAAGCAGGTGCTGGGGGGCTGGGCACTAATGAAAATGGTTGGTTTTGAAAAGGCACTCTGTCCCCACGCACAGGTTAGTCTAGAGAGCTGCAGATGAGAAGAGGGGGGCTGGCAGCAAAGGAGGCAGAAGTAACGCCCTTAGGATGTATTTTGAAAAGAGAATGAAGCGGCTTGGCCCCCCCCATGGGTCATGGGTCCCTGGACAGTGGGCATCGTGTCCGCAGCCTGTACACAGGAGGAGCTCAGCAATGACTCAATGCAACGTGCAGGCCCCCACTCTAGGCAAGCAACCCCATGATGTCCTGGAAGGCCTGGACCGGGTCCCGAACACCAGACTCCCGCCAGGAACCTTCCCAGCCACAGCCAGCCCTGCCCATTAGGCCTCGAGGGAGCCCCACACGTGCAGCCATGCCCACCCTCACATCCGTGACTGTCCACGCCCCCGCTGCTCAGTGTTCTTCAGGGCCGGGCTCGGGGAGAGGCCCACACAGGCTCTGTAGGTGGCTGTGCTGGTGTAGACAGGGCTCCGTGGAAGCCTGGGCGTTTGCTCTGCGGACGGGACACTGCCGTGTGCGCCTGCCCCTCCCCCCACCGCGTGGCTGTAGGGGGACCAGGCAGGGACCCCGGTCCATGTCTGTGCTAGGTATTACCACTCACCTTTCAAACCTGGCATCACTGGGTTGTGGGCCCCCTGCTCCCCAAATTGTGACCCCCCCACCAAAGCCTTGGGCAGGATTCTCTGGGAAGCCAGGGTCCCTCTCCTGGTCATCTTCCACAGGTTCCCTTCCCTGGTCATGAGCTCCACCCTTACCCTTGCTACGTGGTGGCACTGACAGGCCCCTGCACCCCGTCCAGGGCCAGGTGTGTGACCAGGCCTGACACGGGGCACCGTCCCCGTCTCTAGCCACAGCTGGTTCAGGGAGGGGCACGTGACAAAGTTGCTGGCCCCAGGGCGTCTGGAGAGACTGGGTTTTTTTCCGCTGGGAAAGCCTGCAGTGGGGAGGTGAGTCCAGTCACTGGGGGACAGCCTGCCCCAAGAGAAGCCATCACGGAGGAGCACAGACAGACCCGCAGGTGGAGGGAGAGACTCCCTGAGGATCCAGCCGGAAGCCTTGGACATTTTAGTCACACAAACCGACACGTCTCCCTGAGCTCAAGCCACTTTGGGGCCGCAGCAGGCTCCTCGCCAACCAGGCACCAACGTCTGCACTTGGTCAACAGCAGGGCAGATAGAGGGTGAGAAGCAAGACGGAGAGCAGAGCAAGTTTCTCCAGGGGTGCAGAATCGGGGCCACGGGTGACGGCGGAGCGTCCGAGCAGTCTTGGGGATCTGCGGTCAGGGCTGGGCGGACAAGGCCAGCTGCCTCCAGGCCTCGAGGGACACGAAGACCTCAGCTAAGTCCAGCATGACCCAGCCTTTTTAAGGTCTGGATAAGGGCTTGTGCTCTAACTACTCAGGACTGGTTTAACCTTATCTCCTAACAAGCCCTTGGGGGCATTTCCGGTCCCTACTGCTGTCACTATTCTGTACCCAACATCCTGAGATGTGGCTTTGATCTGATATAAACGGTCCAGGGAGGAGTCCACTGGTTTCAGGCATGGCTGGATCCAGGCATGGGATCGCCTGGACTGAGGGGACCATGCTAAACACAGACATCTATGAGGTGTGCAGTGATTTGTCACTCCCACGTGAGAGCCCATGAAGTCTTTCTGCACCCACTCACGCTCCCCAGGAGAAGGAAGCAGAGAACGGACCTCATGTTGTATGGGAGGCTGTGACTGGGGCCAAAAGTTACCTGAGGCCATCTGGTGCAGAGGGAGCATCCGTGTCCTGTCTGCAGACATAGGCTTTCCCTCTGCCAGAAGTACATTCCAGGGGCCCCCGGGCGGGCTCCAAAGTTCATAATCTGATAATGCACAGTCCTACAGCGGTACCTGGGGGAAGTCCCTTTCCCTTCTGAACTCCCATATGCCACATCCCCATTTAGAAAACACTAACCTAAGTGCTCTGCCGAAATGCCAGAGGCAGACTCTGCCCTGCTGCTCCAGGCCCCCACTGAAGAGTTCGTTCAAATGCACACTCACATTTGAGAGCTCCAGAGCTTTTCTGCAAAAACAGCTGACAATTACTGGGCACTCACTACGTGATGAGCAAGTTTTTACACGGATTCACTAGTCCAATCCTCTCGACAACCCCAGAGTGTAGGTATCTATTCTATAGATGGAGAAGCCAAGGCAGACGGAGGTTCAATAGCTTTTCTAGATTCTTGTAACGTTCTTCATAGGTTTGGGTATCAGCGCTTGGTTGGCCTCGCAAAATGAGGTGGGAATATTTGCTCACTTTTTAGTCTCTGGAAAGGTTTGTGTAAGGTTGGTGATATTCTTCAATTGTTTAGAGGAATTCCCTCCAATGAAACCATCTGAATTAAAAAACAAAGAGTGGGGCACCTGGCTCAGTCAGTAAAGTGTCCCACTTCAGCTCCAGTCATGATCTCATGGTGTGTGAGTTCGAGCCCCTTATAGGGCTCTGTGCTGACAGTCCAGAGCCTGCTTAGGAGTCTATCTGCCTCACTCGCTACCCCTCCCCGACTTGTGCTCTCTCTCAATAAATATATAAACAAACAAACAAAAAAAGAAAGAAAAAAGGAAATCATCTGAATTAGAATTTTCTTTTGGGGAATATTTTAAATTATGCATTAATTTTATTTCATTGGTATAGGACTATCCAGGTTTTCTATTTCTTCTAATGTCAGTTTTAGTAAGTTGTGTTTCATTTAAATTTCAAATTTACTGTCATAGAGTTGTTCATACTCTTCTCTTATCATCCTTTTTTTTTAAGATTCTAAAGTAATTTCTACACACAACATAGGGTTTGAATCCTGAGATCAAGAGTCACTCCACTGACTGACCCAGCCAGGCTTCCCGTATTGTCCTTTTAATGCTGTAGTATCTGGTGATGTTCTCTTTTTTATCCTTGATATTGGCATTTCTGTTTTCTTTTTCTGACTCAACATTTCCAGGGGTTTATCCATTCTATTCATCTCTTCAAAGAACCAACTTTCAGCTTTGTTGATTTTCTCTAATTTTTGCTTCATTTCATTACTTCTTGCTCTTGTTTTTTGTCATTTCCTCTCACCTCTGCATTTAATTTGTTCCTTTTCCAGCTTCTTGAGTTGGAACTTAGAGCATTAATTATCAGCCTTTCTCCTAAAACGATACATTTTCCTCTAAGCACTGCTAGATGCGTGTCCCACGGTATTTGCTAGGTCATATTTTCACTATTGCTCACTTCAAAATATTTTACAGTTTCCCTTGTGACTTACCATTGGATCCTTAATTATTTAGAAGTGTCGGGTTTAAATACCAAGCACCTGGAAGCTGGAAGCTTTCTAATTGTTTTATTGATATTGAGTTTAACTTGATTCAAAAAGGACATTTGTATGGTTTTGGTCCTTTGAAATTTGTGGACGTTTTATGGCCTGGGATATGGTCTATTTTGATTAACGTTCCACGTGCGCATGGAAGGGACATGTAGCTACAGCTAGTGGGTGAAGTGCTCTCTGTATGTGGGTTAGGGCAGGCTGGCTTGGAACTGTGTGTTGCTGGCTCAAGGACAGAGGAACGGCCAGGGGGATGAACAGGTCCTCACACATACAGTTACTTAACTTATGATGGGGGCTCTCTTCCAATTCAAGAGGAAAAGTGTGGTCTTTTCAATAAATGATGTTGGGTCAATTGGATATTCAGGTGAAAACAAAGAGTTCCGGTCCCCAGGACGCTATCCACAAAAGTTAATGTGTGATGCACCATAGATGTGACTGGTAAAACAGTTCAGCTTCTAAAAGAAAACATAGGAGAATATCCTAACGAAAAACACCAACCTTAGGAGGAAAGGCAGTGGGTGGCTCAGTGGGCGAAGCCTGGGACCCTCCGTCTCGCTCGGGTCATGATCTCACCGGTCGGTGAGTTCGAGTCCACCTCGGGCTCTGTGCTCACAGCACGGAGCAGGGGTCTGCTCGGGACTCTCTCTCCCTCGCTCTCTGCGCCTCCGATCACGCTGTCTCTGTCTCTCTCAAAATGAAGAAATAAAAACATTTTTAATTAAAGAGAGAGAGACACAGATACATTGGACTTCAGCGAGAATCACTCCCGTTCGTCACAAGCGCGGGCAGCCCCTGAGCGCAGGCCTGCAGGGTGTCCGACCCACCACACGCCAAGTGTCATCGACCACGCGAGGCCGCGTGGCCGCCGGGGGCCCGTCCCGGGGCGCAGGAAGGTCGCGCGGTGGCCGCCAGGGGCCGCGCTCCCCGGGCCGGGCCGCCCACTCGCTCGGTCCTCCTTAAGCGGGAGGCGGCGGGGCGGCCGGGCCGCGGCTCCGCCCCGGGGGCTGCCTTTCCCTTAGAAGGCGAAGCCCCAAGCCTCGCCTCCCGCGGGCGGAGAGCCGCGCCGAGCGCCCCCGGGAGCGCGGACCCGCCGCTGCGGCCGGCGGACCCCGAGGCCAGAGCCCGCGCCCCGGCCCCGCGCCCGCGCCCGCGCCATGCCGCGCGGGAGGTGAGCGGGGCGCCGCCGGGGACGCGCGGGGCCCCGGGGCACATCGCCACCTGGCAGCGGTCTTTGCGTCCCGGCGCCCGCGGGGACTGGAGAGGGAGCCCGGAATCTGAGAGAGCGTGGCGCCGTGATTTCAGAGCTTTGGGGCCCCCCTCCCTCAGACGGACGGTCCCTCGCGGCCGGCCGCAGCCCCCCCGCCCCCGCGCGTCCCTGCCCCGCCCGGCGACCCCCCGCGCAGGGCGGGCCCCCCGCCGCCAGCCGGGCCGGGGCGCTGAGCCGGGCTCCCCGCAGGTGGCGCGCCCCCGGCCCGCGTCCCCGCCATGGAGGTGCTGCGGCGCTCCTCCGTCTTCGCCGCCGAGATCATGGACGCCTTTGACCGCTCGCCCACCGACAAGGAGCTGGTGGCCCAGGCCAAGGCGCTCGGCCGCGAGTTCGTGCACGCGCGGCTGCTGCGCGCCGGCCTCGCCTGGAACGCGCCCGACCGGGCCGCCGCCGCGCCCGGAGGCCGCCTGGCCGAGGTGTGCGCGGTCCTGCTGCGCCTGGGTGAGTGTGGGCGGGGCGGGCGCGGCCCGGGGGGCGCCCCCGGCCTGCCGCCCGCTGCTGCGCCGGTGTCCCTTAGGAAGGGCCGGGGGCCGGGGGTGGGGGAGGGGAGGAGGGCGAAGGGCAGGCCCACGCACTCCCGTTTGGCCCCTCGGGCTCGCCCACCCTCCGCAGGGCGCCCCCGCGTGCTGGCTCCGCCCCGATCTCGGACCTTCTGGCCACAAAGACTGGAAATCTCCGGGGAACAGCAGTGTTTTGGTGGCTGGACTTCCAGAGTGACCCTTGTACTGAGCTGGGCACAGAAACCCTTTGTGGGACCACGTGTCCGATGTTTGTTTTGGAAAGTAGGGCTTTGGGGTTGCTGCCCTTTCCTCTTGGTGTGGAGGCCTGGTAGGGCTCCCTCCGGAAAGGGGGTCAAAGCCACCCTGGGGCCTGCCCCCTGGCTGGTGGAGTATAGACCCCCCGGGTACTTATTTGGGGGGGGGGCGGTCACACACAGCCCAGTAACTGTTTCCACCTTCTCCAAGGTCTACACCCCAGAGGGGGTGGGACAAGCCCAGTGGATTCAGTTTCAGGCACTGAGGTAGCTCACTGGTTGCTGGCAGTCGGCCCGTGGGGAGGGGGTGGCGTGGGGAGGGGGTGGCGGGAGCCCGGATGGTGTGGTCTCCACGCAGTGTGGGTCCAGGCTTGGCGGGAGTGCGGCGTGAGAGCGGACACCCGGCCTCTTCTCTGGCTGACACCAGTGTCTGCTGGCCCCTGTTTTGTGTGGACTCTGAGAGCAGAGCTGTGTAGACCTGGGTGCCTGGAGACACACTGATTCCTGGGGGCATCGCAGGAGGCTGCAGGGAGGGTGGTGGCCCCCCGGGCCTCGGGAGGGAGAACCAGTGGGGTTTGGGGAATCGGGCAGGAGTCCCGAGGGCCTGGACCCCCATGAGGTCAGCCGCCCACAGCTGTTTCTTCAGCTGGCCTGTGGGGATGACACTGGGGAAAATTCTAGAGGGCCATGGAGAAGATGGTTCCTTGGGCTTCCAGGAGCCCTCCCCAGAGCCTGGGGGGCCCCAGAAGGAAGTCTTGCCTCCGTCCTGGCCTGCCCTGCAGCCCAGAGGCCCCGTTGTCTGAACTTGTTTGAAAAACTCTGCTTTGGCCTCTCCAGCCTGACCAGGCTGGTGTCTGTGCCCTCAGTCCACTGTGTCTCCCCCCGCCCCCCTCGAGTGCCCCGGCACTTCCGGCCCGGGCTTGGGTGCCGAGCACCAGCCCTCTCTGGAGCTGGGCCTTCGAGGCCCTTCCCAGCCCTTCCCGGGCGTCAGGCTGTGTCCAGTCGTCGGGACTCAGCCCTGCCTGCCGGGTGGCCAAGAAGGGAGAAGGGAGCCGGCTCGGCCCCCAGAGTGCTCTCTCGCCTTCATGCCTCTTTGCTGCATTCTGCTCCTGGGGCTGCTCTGCTCCAGCCCCTTCCCTGCGGTGCCGGCCCCCACACACCCAAGCCCCTCCTCGCACAGACGCCCAGCTCCCGGGGCAGCCACACATGGGAAGAAGCCTGAGTCGCATCCCCATGGTCAGCCTCTTGGGGCCAGTCCCCAGCAGCCCTGAGGTCCCTGTGTGGGAACGGCCAGGCAGGCCCTGGGAATTTCCATGCCACCCCCCCCCGCCCCCCCCGCCCCCCCCCCCCCCCCCCCCCCCCCCCCCCCCCCCCCCCCCCGCTCTGCATCTAGATCTCAGTTCATTAGATGGAGTGCAGCTGGCCGGGGTGAGGCGGACACCCTTATCGCTCCGTGCTGTGCTGTCCAGTCCACGGNCCCCCCCCCCCGCCCCGCCGCCCGCCAGCCTCGCCGGTTTCTGCTCTGCATCTAGATCTCAGTTCATTAGATGGAGTGCAGCTGGCCGGGGTGAGGCGGACACCCTTATCGCTCCGTGCTGTGCTGTCCAGTCCACGGCATTTCCCTGTTTGCTTTGGCCGCAGGAGCGACAGGGCGAGGGGACACCCAGTCCAGGGGCCGCGTGGAATTCCCAGCACATCAGTGCCAGGGGCGCCGCAGCGAGCGCGGGCAGCGGGTGGGGCTGCTGAGAGGGCATTTCCTCTGCCGGCCGGGGCCGCCCATCCAGACACACCCGCTTGGCACCAGGAGCCCAGGTTTGAGCCTGGGCAGTACTGGTGGCCCCAGGGCAGTGGCTCGGCTTTTCGGATCACAGAGCGGTGCCAGGGCCTGAGCGAGGACGCCCCTTGGAGGCAGCAGCCAGGGCCCATCTGAGTGGGGTCGCTGGCATAGCCCCCGCCCCTGTTGGGCTCTGGCTGCCTGCCCAGTGCGCCTGCCGCCCGGGCAGCTCACTGTGAACCATGAGTCACCCACCAGGCACGGCCCTTGTTCCTCCCTGGGATTCCCGCCTCACCGGCCCAGCAGGCTTGGCCCTGGGTGGGGGTGGCTGGCCGGTCAGAAGGGGTGGGCCGCGGAGGTCGGCCTGGGGGTTCCCAGTGTCCCTCCTTGGTCTCCTGCCCCCAGGGGCTCTGGTGGGGTCGCACCGCGGGGGGATTTGACAGGCTGAGGAGGGGTTGGGGGTCAGACATGTCCAGTGCCAGCTGCGGGCACGGGCGTGGGGAGTGGGCTGGTCTCAGGCCTGTGTGGCGGTGGGACTGGGGTCTCGCAGGACCACTTCTGACCCCGCTGTGTGGCTGCACAGGGGACGAGCTGGAGCTGATCCGGCCCAGCGTCTACCGCAACGTGGCCCGTCAGCTGAACATCTCCCTGCAGTCCGAGACCGTGGTGACCGACGCCTTCCTGGCTGTGGCAGCTCAAATCTTCTCTGCAGGTGGGCCTGGGCACCCCTCCCGCAGGGTGCCCACAGTGCCGGCGTGGGCCAGGGTGTGTGGGCCAGAGCAGGGGCTTCAGCACCGGGGGCCTGGAGCCACCTGGTGCCCATGCGTGACTTCTCGCTGCACAGAAGTGCCCAGAACCTCGACTCGAATGGTGACACGCGGTGTCTGCCCGGGTTCTGAGGACGGTGGGCCTGCTGGGCAGCTGGCGCCAGGCCTCTGCGCGGTTCTGATTGGGCGTTGGCTGGGGGTGCAGTGACCGGAGGTCTTGTCTGGGCCGCGTGTCCCAGACTGCCAGTCGGTGCTGACGATTGACTCGGGGGGCGGGGTGGGGGGCAGCGTGTCCTGCACGTGGCCTGTGGGCTGCTCACAGCGTGGTGCCTGGGCCCGAAGGCGAGTGTCCTGGGCGGGACTGCCAGGCTCTGGTGACATAGCCTCGGCGGTTAGCATCACTGCTGGACTGTGTGGGTCGGCCCCACGTGAGGGAAGATGCCTGAGGGTGTGAGCCCTGGTGCAGCGCCTGCCGGCCAGGCTCTGGGGATAGCACACCTGTGTCACCTGGCTGGCCCACCCCACCTGGGCGTCTCCTGGTGCCCCACCTGTGCCCTAGGAGCCGGTGGCGTCTGCTCCTGCTGCCTCCTCCCTGTGCCCGCCTCTGAGTGCAGCTCCTGCCCCTTCCTGTCTGTCCACCCGCCTCCAGACTCCGTCCCCACGTCCCTTCCCCAGAGCCCTGCTGGGCTCCCTGCTGCCCACAGACCTCACACCCCCCCCGTGACCCCACGTCCCGTCCTGGCACCCACACTCCGTGGGTCCCTCCCTGTATCCCTATAAAACAGGCGCCAGGCTGTGCCTCTAGGTGACCAGAGCCCCAGCCCCAAGCAGCGCCTCCCGCTGCAGCACATCCCGCGGGTGCTTCCCCAGCACCTGGGCCGGGGGGCCCCTGAGGATGGGACAGCCACCCCTGTCCTCGGGGAGGGAAGCGCGGGGGCCTCGGAGCCAGGGCGCTCCAGAGGCTGCGTCCCGGCTGGAGGGAGGGGTGAGGCGAACGGTCGCGTGGCAAGTGGGGAGGGCCCCCCTCCCCCTGGGGCTTTCTGGAAGGCATTCCACTGCAGGAGGGAGGCCTCGCACCTCCTCCTCTGGGAGGCGGTCCTGGCTCTGTTGCTGACCAGCTATGTGACCTTGGCCTGGGCTTCCTCATCTATGGGGTGGCTGGGACGGCAGAGCAGGGCATTAGGGTGGAGGGTCCAGGGGAGCCACAGTCCCCACCAGCTGCAGAGGCAGCCCACACCCTGCAGGAAAGAGCAGAGGGCTGCCTCACCTGTCAGAGGCGAACCCCCAGCCCAGCTGACGTCCAGCCCCACTGACCCCACCCTTCGGGGGTAGCTGCAGGTCGCCCTCTAGTGCCCTCCCCCAAGGAGGCCCACCAGCTCCTGGTGGGCAGGGTGGTGCCCACTTGCTAGGCTTCCGTGAGTCGTGGCCCGTGCGGTGGGGACGAGGGGCGGCCAGCTGTAGAATCCAGACTCCTACAGGGCCACCCGGTCACACTGACCTCCCAGGCAGGAGTCAGCAAAGCTAGGACATCACAAGGCGGTGCCTGGGTGGGCTGGTGGGAGGGCCAGTTTCCTTCAGAATGTTCTAACTGTCCTGACCTGGGTCCTGGAGGGGGCGGGGCCTGGGCCGTGGCAACCTGCAGGGGTGGGCTGGGAGGCACCTTGTGGAGGAGGAAGCAGGCGGGGCCCAGGAGGGAGGTGGGGCGCAGCGCACACCCTGGGCTGAGGACCACCCTCCCCCTCCCTGGGCTCCTGTGTCCCTGGCCTGATGCTGGCGCGTGGGTGGCCGCCTGTGTCTGACTCCGGGCTGGCGGGCGGCTGGTTTATGAGCCGAGGTCTGGCTTTAAAAGGAAGGCTTATCTCTGAGAATGCAGCTTTGGTCTGCTGCTGGCTGTGGGTCTGAGTGGGGAGGCTGGGCTGGGCTCCTGGGTGGTGGCTGGCATGTGGGCAGGGGACAGAGGGCCCACTCCACCCGCCCAGCCTTGCTCAGGGAGGTGTTCGGAAAGGGTCTAGGACACAGACCTCCAGTGGCTGGATCCACTTGTAGAGTTCAGTTAAAGCCTTGTGGTTTTCACTGGAGACTGGGGCGGAATATACCCTCTCATGTTCAAGCACGTTCAGCCCTGTCCCACGCCGGCCCCGCCCCTTCTTGGGGCAGCCTCGACGCCCGCCCACCCACCCCTGTGGGCTCTGCGGCAGCTGCACCCTCTTCTCCTCTCTGCGTGACCTGCACCTGGTTTTTAGCTGCTCTGAACCTCAGAGCCACCTGAGAAGAGACCAGGAGCAGGCCTGACCCTCTGCTGCCTGGCTGTCCGGCCGCCCCCTCGCCAGCTGTGGCTGCCCCCCCCCCCCCCCCCCCCCCCCCCCCCCCCCCGCCGCCTGAGGCCTCCCCTCGGCCCCGTGTCCATCCCATGATTCAGGTCCTTAGGCCCTTTCGCCACAGGGTCAGCCCCAGCCCCCGTCAGGTGCTTGTCATCCCACGGCCGGCCCCTCCTTGCTCACATGGACCTCCCGGCTGCACCTCCCCCCCTCCTGGCAGCTCCCGCTGGGGTGCAGGCCGTCAGGGCTGTGGCCGGCGATGGGGCAGCTTGAGGGCTACAGGGGAGGATCTGCGTCCCCTGCATGGCTGTGCCTTTGGCTGCTCAGCTCCCTTCAAGGGGAAAAACTGATTTTTCTCTACTTGATTAGAAGTTGGCAGGGGTTTTCAGTTTTTTCTTCTTAGGACAAGAGCAAAATATTTTACTGCAAAGAGATCAGAAAATACAAAAGATAAACAACTCTTAGAAACCAGTGCAAAAAAGACCACCCAACCTAAAAATGAGCAAAGAACTTGAGTAGACACTTCTCCAAGATGTGCAGAGGCCCATGGAAGGTGCTCTCATCAACCGTCAGGGAAGCGCCCCTCAGAACCACAGCGAGGCCCCAGCGCCCGCCCACCAGGATGGCTGGGATCAGAGTGGCAGGTGTGCACACGTGCCACGGCAGGGACGTGAACAGTCGGAGCCTCATTAGCTGCTGGTGGGGCCCCAGCGTGGCTCGGCTGCCGTGGAAGGTGGTCAGTTTCTCTAGCGGTTTCACTCGAGTAGAGTCAGCACATGGCGCACGGTCCCACCCCTAGGCGTCTGCCCGTGAGAAATGGAAGTACCATTCACACAGACGTTCGGAGCAGCACTGTTCACAATCTCCACCCGGTGCAAGCAACTCACATGTTCATCACCTGATGGACAGATGAGCAAAATGTGGTCTTTTCATGCGGTGGAACGTCATTCAGTCAAGAAAAGGAAGAAATGCTGACAGGCTACCACGTGGAAGAACCTCGGGGACCCTGTGCCCGGTGCAAGGAGCCAGACGCAGAACGGAGTGCTGTGTGCGAGCCCATCCACAGGAAATACCTACAGTAGAGAGACCCCCCTCCAAGGCAGAAGACGGTCAGCTTGGCAGGGGCTGGGGGTGGTGGGGAAGGGGCCTGACGGCCCTCGGGTGAGGGTGTCCTTTATGGGCATGAAAATGTGTTAGATCCAGACAGCGGTGGTGAATGCATCAAATTCCACTGTGATTTATAGTAATTTATTACCATCCCTGGCTTTTCTCTCCAGACCTGATAATACAGCCATCATGTGGGGCTTGCCACAGGGTGGCACCACAGGACATGGTGCTCACCTCCCTGTGCCCTGTGGCAGCACCCTGACCCTCGCACATCAGTCCCTTCACCTGCCCCTGGCAGGGAGGGGTACCTGTCAAGTGCTGAGGGCACTCGTGAGTGGGACAGAGCCACGATCCGGCGCCCACATGGCTTGGCCTGTGGAGCTGGGGGCCCTGCTGGAGAGCACGTGCGGGGCCGGGTGGGGGGAACGGGGCCTGGGGTGGGGGTGGAGACTCACGTGAGATTTCGGACTTGGGTTTACTTTTAAGTCATTTCTACACCCAGCGTGGGGCTCGGACTCACAACCCTGAGATCAGGAGTCACACCCTCCACAGATTGTGAGCCGGCCACGGGTCCCCGTAACAGATTCATTTTGAAAGAGATGCAAAGTAACAGTACTGGGAGGGTTTTATGCAGGGGAATGACGTGGTCCGATTTGTGGGATGTAAAAATTTTCTCTTTATTGAGATGAAACTTACCTGACAATTAACGATTGCAAAGTGCACAATCGAGTGGCCGTTAGTGCGTTCACAGCCCTGTGCAATTACCACCCCTGTTTTCACCGCCCCAGAAGGACACTTGGAGCCCGTTGAGCACTCCCTCCCCACCCCTCCCCAGGCCCCGGGAGCCACTGAGCTCCTCGAGTCTCCGTGGACTTACCTGTTCTGGACGTTCTGAGTAACAGATTCATGCGGTGTATGTGGCCTTCTGAGTCTGTGGGGCCCCCGAGCGCCGTGTTTTCGAGGCTCCCGGACACTGTGGCAGTGTGGGCACTCCATCCCTCTTCGTGGCCGAGTCCCGTTCCCGGGGACGGACGGACCACAGTTTGCCTTTCCCGTCACAGCTGATGGCTGGTTTGTTGCTCCCACCGTTTGGCGACTGTGAGCAGGGGCGGAGGGGCCGGCTTATGCCCCAGCTGCTCCGTGAAGGCGCGCTGACCCGGCAGCGCATCCACAGACCAGTTCTTGCCGGAACGGTGGCTGTATTTCCCGTAGGGGTGACAAGGCGCAGGCTCACCAGGACCCTCAATCGCACTGACGTTGAGAGTTTTAATGTGACGGGGGCGCTGGGCTGGCTCAGTCGGTGGTATGTGCAGCCCTTGATCTTGGAGTCGTGAGTTTGAGCCCTGTGTTGGGGCTAGTTTATTTTGTTAAAAATTTTTTTAATGTTTTATTTATTTCTGAGAGAGAGAGAGAGAGAGAGCGTGAGCAGGGGAGGGTCAGAGGGAGAGGGAGACACAGAATCTGAAACAGGCTCCAGGCTCTGAGCTGTCAGCACAGAGCCTGACTCTGGGCCCGAACTCAGGAACCGTGATATCATGACCTGAGCCGAAGTCGGATGCTTAATCGACTGAGCCCCCCAGGTGCCCCTAGAGTTTATTTTAAAAATAAAGTTTATTTAAAAGTAAAGCCCGACAGGAGGGCTCAGTCGGTTAAGTGTCCAACTCTTGATCTTGGCTCAGGCCATGATCTCACGGCTCATGAGACTGACCTCCACTTGGGGCTCTGTGCTGACAGCAAGGAGCCTGCTCGGGGTCCTCTCTCCCCCTCTCCCTGCCCCTCCTCCACTCACCCCCCTCTCTCTCTCTGCTCCTCCCTTCCAATAAATAAACTTAAAAAAAATAAAGTTTTAAACTGACAGATTGCAACCTATATCTCGTTTCCATTGGCCTTTCTTTGGTTACTCGTGAGGGTGTGCACTTTTCGGATGTTTCATATATTTGTATCTTTCTTTCCATGAAACAGCTGTTTATTCTGCGTGTTCTGGCTGAGTCGTAAACCCTCTTGGTATGTCGGGGGCGCCCACACCCCAGATTTCAGGCCTTCCTTCCCAGGCTTCATCCATCGGCCTCTCCCTCCCTGGGACTCCATCTCGGTTCTGCCGCTCAGGAGCTGGGTGCTCTGGGGAGGGTCGCCTCCCGGGACTCGGCTCTTCTATGTTGGAAACGTCCCAGGGCCCTCGCACAGCTGCTCTGGAGGCCAGATGGCCAGGGGCAGCGCGGCTTGAAGCCACTTACTGTACAGTGTGCGGCTGTGGGCCGCTAGCCACCCTCCCCCCGGCCTCAGTTTCCTTCTCACCCAATTGCCTCGCTGCCTCACCACTTCCTCCAGCAGACGGTGGGCCATGCAAGGTGGTCCTGGGCACCGGCGCGGGTGGCAGGCATCTTTGAGATGGAGGCTTTGAGAATCTCTGCCCAAGAGCTACCGTGACGGGGGCAGGACTGGCCTGTGGCAGGGATGGTGGCTGGGGCTCATGCCTGGCGGCCAGCTGCCAGGTGCAGGGCTGGGGGGGGGTCTGGCCCTTGGGTTCCCACCCGGGCATCAGTGGGATGATGGCTGGGGGCGTGGCTCAGAGAGGCTCAGGCCCTTCTGCGACCCAGAGGGCTGGGCTGGAGCTGGGGTTGGGGGCCTTCTGCTGACGGGCGTCTGTCTCTCTCCCTGCAGGCATCACGTGGGGCAAGGTGGCGTCCCTGTACTCGGTGGCAGCGGGGCTGGCCGTGGACTGTGTGCGGCAGGCCCAGCCCGCCATGGTCCACGCTCTTGTCGACTGCCTCGGGGAGTTTGTGCGCAAGACCCTGGCGCCCTGGCTGCGAAGGCGCGGCGGATGGGTGAGGGGGCGCCCGAGGCCCCGGGAAGGGGTGTGGAGGGTTGAGTGCCTGAGCACCCGCAGTGGCGGGTTGCTGGGGGTTGGAGGGGGGTGAGGCCCAGCTCCGGTGCTCTGCTCCCTCCAAGCCCAGAGCCTTCCCCCACCTCCAGGGCTAAAGTCCTGCGGTCCCCGAGCCCCGCGCAGGGTGGAAGGTGGCCTGCAGACGCGGCCCCTTGGCCTGTGAGACGTGGAGCACAGGCCCTGTGCTCAGAGCACCCCTGACCTACCCCCACCCAGCCACATTCCGATGCCAGGATGAGGCCGGCCCGGCCTGCAGGGATGGGTGCACACGCCCTACACACCAGGCCCTGCGCCCCCAGCCACCTGCCCCGCCCTGGCCAGGCCCCCACAGGAGACCTCAGGTTTCTCCTCTGTAAAATGGGCAAGGGTATGTGAAACACGCTGGCTGTGGATGACAGAGCTCAGCCCTCTGCTGAGGTTGCAGCCAAAGGCCGAGGTCAAGCGGTTCTGGGGCTGGAGCCTCATCTGAAGTTGGCGGTGGGGGGGATGGCTGTGGCCATTCCTCAGCTGAGAGACCCCGAGGCCTCCGTCCCTCCTGCCTTCCCCCTCTGGAGTCAGCAAGGCCACTGGTAGAACCACGGTCAAAGTCTGGACTGTAGAGAAAAGATTTCATTTCTTAGCGGGAATAGAATGAAGTAGGAGTGGCCATTCACTGGAGTTCTGGAGAGCCCAGTGCCCACCGCTGTTCTGAGGGAGATCTGAAGCTGGAGTTGACGTTTCCTGGTGCCCCGGGCGCCACAGGGCCAAAGCAGAGGGGGCGGGAGGTTGTGGGGACATGGGCAGTAGGTACTGGCCAAGGGGCTGGCGGTGGGGTCCCCGCGTGGGGCACACCGCGGGCTTCTCCCGTCTGCCAGCCGCTGCCGCCTCGACCTCCTCCCTTCCCTTGTCGTGGTCGGGTCGGCCCCACGCAGGTCTTCCGTCCAGAGTGGATCGCGGGCCTTCCCTTCGGCCTCGTGCACCCCCTCGTGGGAGTCGGCGGACGGCCTGTGCGAGGTGCTCTGCCTTCTAACTGTGCCCTCTTCCCTCCCAGACCGATGTCCTCAAGTGTGTGGTCAGCACGGAGCCCGGCTTCCGCTCACACTGGCTCGTGGCCGCGCTCTGCAGCTTCGGCCGCTTCCTGAAGGCCGCCTTCTTTGTGCTGTTGCCAGAGAGATGAGCTGCAGGCTCGGGCACAGGCCGAAGCCAGGCCCTCCGACCCAGGAGGCCCCCGGGCCCCGGGAGCGTCACCGTCTTCCTCAACCAGGCTGGGAACGGTCCGATCCTCAGAGCCCCGCCTTGGTGCGGGAGGCCTTGCCCTGAGCCCCGTCCATTACCCTGGCCCCTAGAAGGGGAGGCGGGGGCGTCCCTGGCCTGGAGCTGGGCTTCTGCGCCTTCCCCTGGGACCCCTGCTTGTCCGCTTCCATCTGGAGCCACAAAGTCAGGGTCACCTCCCAGGTCCAAAGGGAAGGGAGCTGGGAGCGCCAGGCTCTCCCTCGATGGGTGGGTCCCGTCTGTGAAGGTCGGCCGTGCCAGGACACGAGCGGGGCAGTGGGCCCTGTACACGCAGTCACGGGAAACCCGGGCCTGGCCCAGGCCGGACGAGCCATGGGGTCTGACTGACCTCGTGAACGGGGCAGAAGGCTCATGGGCTGGTTGCTTAATCCGTTTCTGGAGGGAGCGCGTGTCTCCCTCCCCTGGCAGGGTCCCCGTGTGGTGGGGACCAGGGGTGTGGGCTCCAAGCCGGCAGGCCTGACCTGAAAGCCCAGGAGCCCATGGGGAAGAAGGCTGTGTGTGTGTCCAATCCCAATAAAGTTTCATGGCAACGGACGGCGACCCATCTGCTTTCTTGGTGCCCCTGCCCCCACACCACCGCCCGGGGCCGGGACGGGCGTGGAAGCACCCCGGTGTCCTCCCTGGCTGCGGCGGCCTCTGCTGCTGCTGTGCGTCGTGACAGGGAGCTCCACGCGGACACATCCGTGTGTGCACGGCGTCACGGGCACACACGCCCCAGGAAAAGACGGGTTGCTCGGCGGTCTTGGCCGCCGTGTGCCCACCTCAGGGCCGGCTCCGGGCAGGCCCCATTCTCTGCTTTCTGACGCAGGGACGCCCTCCCCAAGGCGGCCCGACTCCCGCTCCGGCCACAGGCACGCAGCGCCGGATTCTGCGACTCGGCCTCCCCCTCGGTCTTGGTTTCCCTTTCCGTGCAACGGACGGAGCCAGAGGGAGGCTGAGGGCAGCGGGCTCTGCCCTCCCATCCAGCCTCCCGAGGAGCCGGAACCCTGTGCACAAGGTGGGAGTCGGCTCACTGGAAGGGCACCACTTGCTCCCTCCAAGGCCTCGCGCCGCGGTGCCCGTGACCGGGGGGCGGTGCCTGCGCCTGCCTGCCTCCTCACCCCCCGGGCCGAGCCCCGGGCCAGGCTGGGGGCGCAGAAAGGCAGTCGGGACCTCAGGACAGCACAGGGTTGGAAGCTGCAGGGAGATGGGGCGGGGGCGTCTCCCACACCCGGTTACAGGATGCAGTGGGAGAGACGCTCCTTTCCAACAGCAGGAAACAGGTAAGAGTCTTCCGCGTCAACCACACAAGCGAGAGAGCCTGTTTGCGGAAGATGCCATGGACCTTCAAGGCCCGGCGGTCTGGGCAGACAGACAGAGACGCCAGGTTCCGGACAGCAAATCCATCCACAAAGAAGACAATTCTTCATAAGCAAATCTATAAATTTAATGCCATCCTTGTGAAGATATCAGAATGGCTTTTTTTCCCCTAGATTTAAACTAGTTATTTTTAATGGGAGGACATTTTATAAAACAACAAGAATAGGGGCGTCTGGGTGACTCAGTCAGTTAAGCGTCTGACTGGCTCAGGTCATGATCTAGAGGTTCGTGGGTTCGAGCCCTGCGTCGGGCTCTGTGCTGACAGCTCAGAGCCTGGAGCTGCTTTGGATTCTGTGTCTCCCTCTCTCTGCTCCTCCCCTGCTTGCGCTTTGTCTCTCTCTCTCAAAAAGAAATAAAACTTAAAAAAATATATATAGCCAGGATGAGCCTTAAAAAGGAGAGAGGTGAGGGAACAGCTTGCCTGCAGCTGAGCCCGGCGCTGCGTCTCAACGGGCCATGGGTGCCACCACAAAACGCAGTCAGCAGGTGGGGGAAGAGACGAGACGGGACCCGAGGCCACACTACACACGAGGACAAATTCCAAGTGGGTCAAAGAGCTAAGTGTGAAACATGATATAAGTACAGGAGAAATGGGTGATTTTCTCCGTGACTGGGGAATAGACAAAGCTTCCTAAATATGATTTAAAATTCAGGAACAATAAAAGACAAAATGCATCCTGGATAAAAAAGTAACATTTTAACATTTTCACAAATATTTGGAACTTGAGACAGAGAGCAGTAGTGGTCGCCATTACACTGGTTAAAACGGTGAACTTTATAACAGTGTGTTTTACCTCAATAAAAAAGCTGTAACTGAGCATTAAGAATATCAGGATTCATACCCCAAATTCAAAAGAACATATTAGCTACAAAAATCCAGAAGAAAAAGAAAAAAAGAAGAGAAATGCAAACCCAGACTAGCCTGGGTCCCTCTCCCTGACAAGCGTCCACAGCGGGCGGGCGGGTCCACGTGCCGCTGGCCGTGGCCTGGCTCCTGGGCCTCCTGCCCACGCGCGCCTGCAGAAACCCCAAATGGCAGGTTATTGGTTGGGGCGTCATCAGGTGCGCCAGACTGGAAGCGGGGGGCGTCCAGCGGGAGGGGACCTGCGGGAGGGGACCCTGGGTATGAACCGTGACCTGGTTGCCCGAGAGCACCTGCAGCTGGGCGGGCAAGTGCGCCCTGTTTTCCGGTTTTGACAGTAAAGTCCTGTCAGAGGTTTTGCATAAGCAAAGCCACCTTGCGAAGATTCAATCTGGAAATGACGCAGAGGAGCCTGTGTGGGGAGTCGGTGCCGTGAGCACCGGGGAAACTGGTGATTCCGATTAGACTGTACTTGACTTGCTTGCTGTCTGCGGGGGAGGGGCGGAAGCGACAGGGAAAGCGGCAGACGCAGGCCCCGGCCTGTCCCTGTCGTTGAGAACAGCGTTACTCCGTGAAGACATACGGACCTGGAGGATACAGCAAACACTCTCACAAAGAACCAAGCTTCTTCACCTTAGAAGAGGTAAAACCAAAGAATTCAGGTAAAAAGTTCTGCAATCCTCGAACGGGAACTGGAGACGGTGTGGACGCGCACACAAACGCGTGTCCCCTGTGCGAGGCGGCCACAGGGAGGGCGCCGACGGTGTGCCGACCTGGCCCAGGCCGCGACAGAGCTGAGGCCGCGAAGCGGGACCTTCTGGCTCTGCCCACGCAGGCGGGACGCAGGGCAGCGCCTTGGCCTGAGCCCCGGCCCCCCCCCCCAACCCCTCCCCGCCAGAGAGGGGAGGCTGCGGACACAGCTGTGCCCACTGTCCTCTGAGCACCTCCCACCCTTGACCCGAATCACAGCTTCTGGGCAGAGGGAGGAGGAAGGAGGCTGGGCCCCCTGCACTCAGGTCCCACGGCCGCGGACAATGAAAGGCGCGCATCCCTCTTTCAGGCCGGCTCTCTGCTGCAAAGTGACTTCAGGGAGACCAGGTGTAGCCTGATGCCCGCAGAAGGAGCTTCTTCCAGACAATTCATCCCTGAATGCAGGAGCGGCCGCTGTCGGGGCGCCTGGGGGGCTCAGTCGGTGCAGCGTGACTCTTCATCTTGGGGCCGATGTTTTGTTTTTTAAATGTTTATTTTGAGAGACAGAGTGAGAGCAACAGAGCGAGAGAGTGGGGTGGGGTGGGGGCAGAGAGGGAGAAAGAGAATCCCAAGCAGGCCCTGTGCTGTCAGCGTGACCCCGACGTGGGGCTTGATCTGAACGGCCAGATTATGACCTGAGCCGAAATCCAGAGTCAGACGCTCAGCTGACTGAGCCCCATAGGCGCCCCTCGGGGTCGACATTTGGAGCCCCGCGTTGGGCACAGAGATTACCTACAAATAAAGCCGTTAGTGGGGAGGCCTGTCCCCTCCCCTCTGCAGGCGTCTCCATGTCTCTGACTCTTCCTCTTTCCATCTGCTCCTCACACCACGGCTCCAGGACGAGAACAGAGTGAGGTCTGTGCAGCTCTCTGACAGTGTCATGCAGCCCCCAGGAGAGGGGGTCGGGTGTCCCGGGGTCCCCCCAGGAGAGGGGGTCGGGTGTCCCGGGGTCCCCCCAGGAGAGGGGGTCGGGTGTCCCGGGGTCCCCCCAGGAGAGGGGGTCGGGTGTCCGGGGGGGCCCTGCTCTGGCCCTAGTGCTGGTGGGACTTGTCCTCTTCCCAGCTCTGGCCTGGGAGCTACAGGAAGAGCCCCGGGACTTAGGGGTCCGGATGGCTGAGCACAAGGGGCCAGGGAGTGGGCAGTGTGTCTGTGGGGTATTCCCAACTCCCAACAGCGCCCACCCCTTCCTGCCTGACACCAGTGCCGAGGGTGCCCCTGGGATAAGAAGTGAGGGGTCCCCACCGCCCAGCCCCACTCTAGAAGGTGCCACACTAGACAGAAGGTCTCCGGCTACGGCGCCTCCCCCATCCCTGGCCTCATGCATTTCCTCCACCATTTCCTTCTCAGGCGACTGTCCATGGCACTGACAGAGGCCTTTTAGGCCAGGGGAGCCTTGTGGGAGGGGACGAGGATGTGGAGGGGGAGACGTCAGCCTGAGCCAGCGGGGAGGTCACAGGTGGCTAGTTGGAGGTGGTCAGCGGCTCGGCATGCTGACTACTGCTCTGAGTCCCACAGCGCCCCCCTCAGGCTGTCGGAATAGGAGTTTCCAGGCTCTTCCAAAGACGCTGTCTCTTTGGAAATGCCCCAGAAATTTCCATACCCTCCTCGGTTTCCCAGGAGAGCCTGGGATCCCAACGTCGAGCGGGTCCCTGGAATTCCTCTCCTTCTCCTGTTTGTCAGGGTGCTGGCAGCAGCCGCAGGGAATGTGCGTGGGAGGTGCCCCTGCTGGGACCTGCAGAAGTCGCAGGCCACCCCTCTGAGGCTGCAGCTGAAGTTTTCCTTTCCGTTTCCTCCAGCACTGGAGGCACGACTGACTCGCAGAAGAATGGGGAAGGAGGGAGGCAGGCATGGCATCTGAACCCGGGGTGGGCATTCACTGGGATCTCTGATCCACCCAGGCTCCATTCCCCACTCTACCTCTGCCCCCTCAGCTCCCACCTGAGGTCTCCCCCACCCACAGATGCCCCTGAACACATGCAGAAGGCAGGAGCCGTAGGACCCGGGTCCTACCCGGTGTCAGCGGCTGTGTTCCATGCCGCTCACCTCCCAGTCTGCCAGGATCTGAGAGGAAGGGTCCACGGAAGCCCCTTTCCCCATTAGGACACTGCTGACTGGTTTGCAGTTTTGGCTCCTCTATTTTGTAAAATAAAAAGCACACTAGGGGCGCCTGGATGGCTTAGTCGGTTAAGCATCCGACTTTCGCTTAGGCCATGATCTCGCGGTTCGTGGGTTCGAGCCCCGCGTCGGGCTCTGTGCTGACTGCCAGCTCAGAGCCTGGAGCCTGTTTCAGTCTGTGACTCCCTCTCTCTCTGACCCTCCCCTGCTCACGCTGTCTCTCTCTCCTAGATATAAATAAAACATTAAAAAAAATTAAAAAAAAAAAAAAAGCAAACCAGAGCCATTAAAATACAATGATTCCGTCAAAAGAAAAAAAAAAAAGGTGTGGCTGCTCGGAAGAGCATGTGACTGTTGACCTGGGGACTGTGAGTTCAAGCCCCGTGTTCGCGGGAAGATGACGTAAATGCATAAATTAAGAAACGACCACAGTGGTAAGGCAGCCAGT